ATGGCTCTGGGGGATCAGGAAAATACTGATCCCACTCCTGCGTAATGGGCATGCCCGCGATCAACAATAGAGCTGACTGGGTCAACTGCGAAGTCCCTAGCGAGATCTGAATGCTGAATGAAGGCATATCATGAGGAACATCGTGTGGCTCAGGGTGGTCACCCGGCTCATCATCTTTAATATCCTCCACGGGTGCCTCAACGCCCCCTTGTTGGGGACCCCGTCCTCGGCGACCACCACGACCTCGTGGATCACCCTTCCTCTCTGGCCACGCCTGCTACGTCTATCACTTTCAGGCTCTACCGGTGGCCCATGATGGTACTCCTCTGGCGGCATATAAGAAACCTCGTATCCTAATCGCTCATCATCTCGGGCACGCCTCAATGTCTGGGCATCCAAATCTGTAACATGTCGGCCATACTCATGCAAAGTTATCGCTCCCTCGCCGGTATGCTGCTGCATCTGCAGTCCCAACTGGTAGAACTGATCTAAGCCAATAGCCTGCATAACATGTCAAATATTAATTAAGGAAGGATAATTTAATATTATAAGTAAGTATAACAAATAACATACCAGTGCCTCATGCCTCCCGGCGTATGGAATGTACCGACCATCAGTGCGATGAACGAGATTCCCGACGAGATTTCGGGTAACACTGCGATTCCAGCTCATATACTCATGCTCGTTATCCGTACACTCAAGTGGAGGGGGTGACGGAATCAGGTTATACTTCTAGTCCCAAATCTCAATCTGGGCCTCTAGCGAGTCCAAGTATGTCTGGTCAGCCTTGGAGCGATCATCCCGCCGGTAATGTGTCCTAAGACAAGCGGGCGGAATAGGTACAAGCTGCGGTCGACCAAACTAGCGAAGGATATAATTAATTTTCATAACTATACGTGATATAATTAATAACTACTCATATAAAAATACTTAGTTCGACAAATATTGTTATTTGTTATGTTATTTTCTTACATTTGTTAACTAAAATTCGAGAGAGACTGTGTTTGAACTATCATATTTTTCAGATATTTTTGGGGTTAACATATAATTAAATAATTAATTTCAATAACTACTAAGATACTAAGCTAAAGGGCACTACAATTGTAATGACCCAAAATTCCACCACATGCGTCGTGATGACACTTAGTCTCTAAGACTAGGTAAGCCGATTACAATTAAAATTCAATCCCTTTTTTTTTATATAAAGATATAATTTAATACACGTGTCGAAACCAACAACGGAAATAATTTAAAAAAAAATATCCCAAAACTGGTAATACTGAGTCACGAACTCTAACTGAATTTACGGAATGATCTCAAGGATTGAATATACAATATTGTTTGAATAATAATTAACAGTACAATAAAATGGAAAGACTCCAAGGGACTGCGACAACCAAGCAGCTCTACCTTGAATCCATGTGATCAACACACTAACTATGCCTGAGTCTGATATCTCCAATACCTGGCTCTGCACAAAAAGTGCATAAGTGTAATATGAGTACACCACGGTCGGTACCCAGTAAGTATCAAGACTATCCTCGGTGGAGTAGTGACGAGGTACAGTCAAGACACTCACTAATCAATTAACATGTGCAGTGTAGCAGTATATAATAATAATAATAATAATAATAATAATAATAATAATAATAATAATAATAATAATAATAATAATAATAATAATAATAATAATAATAATAATAATTATAATTATAATAATAGAAATAAATGGCAATGTGGCAACAAGAATAAATAAATGATGTAAACAACAAGGCAACAAGAACACCATAAATATTGCTCAAACGAATAAGGAACACAAATACAACTAATCAATCAAGTCCCTTAAATATACGTCTTTCCAATGTAAGTACTTCAAGTATAAATCTTTCAAATATAAGTTTTTCCACAATAAGGAGCCCATGGCTCGACCAGAGCTATAATGTGCACAAAATCTTAACAAATATATCCGAGAATGAACAACTCAATAAAATAATATTTCATATAAAAATCAAGGTGGCAATCATACCAAATCATCATATAAAAATAAATCCAACAAAACAAGGATTTAGGTAAGACAGTTAAAGGATTTAATAAGTGCCAATAATTTTTAATTTAATACATAAGGGCGTCTAAGGATTTTAATCAACGTAATTTGTACATATAAACCAAGTACGTACTCGTCACCTCGTGTATATGGTTTTCAATTACACGAATTGCACATAGGACTCAATGCCTAAGGAGAATTTCCCCCACTCAAGGTTAGGCAAGATAGTTACATTTTTGAAGTTAGGCTGATATTCCAAAATCGCCTTCTTGCTTGAAATGACCTCCGGATAACTCAAATCTAACCAAATTAATTCAATTCAGTGAATTCTAATTATAGGAATTAATTCCATATGAAAATACTAATTTTCCAACAAAATCCGAAATTTCACTCAAAAATTGCCTGTGGGGCCCACGTCTCAGAATCCGACGATACTCACAAAATCCGATAAACCATTCAATTACGGGTTCACCCATACCAATTTTATCAAATTCCGATAACAACTCGACCTCCAAATCTAAAATTTTCGTTCTTGAAAAGTTTTGCAAAAATCTTGATTTCTTCCATTTAAATACGAAATAAATGATGAATATAACCATAAATCTATGAAATATAATCACTTTTGGATATAGAACACTTACCCCAATTCATATGGTGAAAATCACCAAAATATTGCCTCAATCCGAGCTCCATAGCTCCAAATATGTTAAAATGGCCGAAACTCCAAAATATAGCTTCTGCCAAGGTAGGTCGCATCTTTAAATTGCGACCTACTTCAACTTTCCAACCAGAAATTTCTAGCGAAACTGCTTTACCAGCCTTCATTCAGTTGACCATAACTTTCTGTACAAATGTCAAAATGATGAATGATTTAACTTTCTGGAAACTAAAATCAAAGTGCTACAACTTTCATGTTTTGATACTTTTCGGATTTCTTATAGATTTCTAGATATAAGATTTCAAAGTCGGCTCCACGCATCAGAAATTTCTGGCGAAACTGCTTTACCAACCTTTATTCAGTCGATCATAACTTTCTGTACAAATGTCCAAATTATGAATGGTTTAACTTTCTGGAACTTGAATCAAAGGGCTACAACTTTCATGTTTTAAAAATTTTCAGATTCTTTATAAATTTTGAGATATAAGCTTCCAAAGTCGACTCTACGATTGTACCAGTTGCTGTCCAAAAACAGCTTATGCATCAGAAAAATTCTAGCAGCTCATTTTGTCCGAAATCCATTCCGTTAACCTTCTGAAATCCACCCGAGGCCCTTGGGACCTTAACCAAATATGCCAACATGTCCCAAAAGACAATACAAATTTAGTTGAGGCTTCAAACCATGCCAAACAATGCCAAAATTACAAATTGTGCATCAAATCGAATTATGAGTTTTCAAATCTTTCAACTTCTATATTTTGCGCCGAAATGTATCAAATCAATTCTGATTGACCTCAAATTTTGCACACAAGTCATAAATGACATAACAGATCTATAAAAAATTTCAGAACTGGATTCCGACTCCGATATTAAAAAGTCAACTCCCCGGTCAAACTTCCCAAAATTTCAACTTTCGCTATTTCAAGCAAAATTTCACTACGGACTTTCAAAAAAAAATTCGGACACGCTACTAAGTCCAAAATTATCATACGGAGCTATTGGAATCATCAAAATTTCATTCCGGAGTCGTTTACTCAAAAGTCAACTCTCTGGTCAACTCTTTCCATTTAAGCTTCAAAAATTAGAATTGTTCTTTAAATTAAATTCTGAATCTTCCGAAAACCAAACTCGACAACACACGCGGGACATAATACATATTACGAAGCTGTTCGAAACCTTAAGTCGCTTAACGAGGCATAAATTCTTAAAATGACAAGTCGGGTCGTTATAACAATTAACTACGCTAAAGGCCACTACATTACAATTACATGCACTACATTAAAATTACGAGCACAACATAACACTAAAGGGCACTAAACAATAATAAAGTCACATATTAATATATGTACAATAATAAAATACGGTTAAAAAATAATTACACGATAAATAATCTAATCTGGATAAAAAATAACAAATTAATTTAATCATAAAAAAACCACGAAAATACATATACCACATTAAAAACAACTAATAAATATTTTTTATAACATCTAATAACATTAATTATTCATAAAATAACAATTACTATATTTCACTAATTATTTAGCACACAAAAAATCTAATCTAGATAAAAATAACAAATTAATGAATCACAAAACAATCATAAAAAAACATAGACAACAGTAAAAAAATAACTAATACGTATTTTTTATACATGAGTTTTGATAAAAAATAAAAAAAAAAGTCTGAATACCTCGATTTACAATTTTTTGAAAGGTGAAGATTTGATGATTTAGGGGCCGAAACGAGTAAACACTACATGATAATGCCTTAGATCCGGTGTTAGCTTGCTACAATATGGACAAGATATATTTTTTGTGGACGGATGGGCTCCACTGAGTTTTTTTTCCTTTAAAAATGGAGGGGAGGACCGATTGTTTGGTGGGGAAAGGAGATGACACGCTTTTTTATATAAGTATAGCGTGTTATACCCTCCCACTCATTTTAAGTTCAAATATAATGATAAATAATCGCGTTATATATAAAATGATGCCCAATTTTTTATTTAACATATTTCAGTGTTTTGACTCCAAATGAACCCGGTTCCGATTCCTATATTTTGTTCTTCCTTAAATCTGTTATTCTTTTTTTGTGGGTCCCACTTCCTAAATTGATATTCCTCCATATTCTCCCTCAAAATCATTTCATCCATAACGGAATTTGATTCCTTTTGATGTTAATTGTTGCATTTTTCTTTTGAGGGACCACACATTTTTAATATTCTTTTCTTGTTCTCCAACCCCATTAATCTGGTCGGAGTTCTATTCTTCTATAATAACAAAGACACGTACCTCACAAAAGAGGGAAGAGAAACAGAGATAAAAAAAATAAAATAGATAGAGTGACGAGAGAAAGGGTAAGGCATTAGCTTCAGGAATTTTTCCCTTTACTCGTCCGTTTCTTCTTTCTCAAGCTAACAGATCCACCACCAAAACTCCATTAATACCACCACATAAAGCTTCCAAATCAGCCCCAAAACGTCACCCTGTTCAGCCGTAAAACAACTTCCAACAGTTGCCTTCTTCATGTTCAATATTCATAGTCGTGTTCGCTTTTGAATTTCAGAGCTATAAAACATTTAATGTCCAGATTCAACTTTGAGGTGCATTTTCTCCATTGTTACTTTTAAGCATGTTAATATATGACTTTGATTTGATGAATGGTTGAACAGTGAAGTGAGTTCCTCGTGTTTGTGATGTTGAGTTAATCATTTATTTCTCTTACTGATTTAATTCCGTTAGTAATCGTAAGTTTCTTTTTTTTTCTAATTTGAAATCACGTTTCCCTTATTTTATTTTGTTTTAAATTAGTTCAAAATTGTTGTATTAGTATGCCATGTTTAGTTGTCCATCTTCACTGTTTTTGGCATTTTCTATTTTGCCCACTTTGATTTGAATGAGTTTAATGAAGTACTGGAGACTTCGTTTTCTTGGTTCTTTCCCTTTCGTTGTTGGCTTAAAGGAGTAGGCATTGTTTAGTTAGGTAAGCACATGAAATATATAGTATTTTTACATCTCCTGTTAATTTATCTAAATATTCATGCATTTTATCAAATGAATTAGTAATATACGTAAACAATCATTTCGAAAGCAATAAGCTTATTTATTTCAATAAACCCATGTCCATAAACCATGACCTCTACAACAATCTTAAATTAGTTTTAGGAAATGAACACGCGCTAGTTGTTTTAGGCGCGATTAATAAATCATCGTGATTATGAGTATAGTTCCCGTGGCATATTCATGATATGTAACCCCAATTCAAGTGCGTGTTTCACGCAACTTGACCATAACTTCAAATAATAATAATAATAATAATAATAATAATAATAATAATAATAATAATAATAATAATAATAATAATAATAATAATAATAAATATGTTGTAAATCGCGGGTACGTTTCACGTGGTACAATTTGAATGTGTACCAAAATGACAAGTGTACGACATCGTAACTTGTTCAAGAAATAACTCCATAAATACTAAAAAGCAGTTAAATATTCAATTAAAATCAGTATAGAAGCGGTAATGCATAAAATGTTTTAAACGTGTAATGATTCATATAATTAAGCCAGGTGTAATTGTAAAGCGACCGTGCTAAAATCACGGAATTCGGGAGTGTCTCACACCTTCTCTCGGGTTAACAGAATTCATTACCCGATCTTCTGTGTTCATGGACCATAAATAGAGTCAATTTCTTCGATTTGGGATTTTAAAATAAACCGGTAACTTGAGACACCATAATAGTTATTCCAAGTGGCGACTCTAATTAAATAAATAATCTCATTTCGAATAATGTCACTTTAATTGAAAAACTCCATATTCTTCGGAAAAAGGAGGTGTGACAGATACATATCAATAACTTTATGTAAAAATATAGTATTGATAACTTAAATACAAATTTTATACAACGATTCATACACTCTCCAACTATTTTTTAACTTTCACACAATATTCAAAAAATTATATATATAATTACAGCAGAGTATAATTTAAATATAATTTGCATACAACAAACAACTTCAAATTTGAGGTATAAGCTTCAAAGAATATTTCTAATTGTTTGTAACAATACTCAATCCAAACAAATAATAGTTTTTGAAAACCCAAATTCGAACTCAAAGTTTCGAAACTTTTTAATGATGGTCAATGGTGGAGATTCAAACACATTCAAAATTTATTGATTGATAATTTCAATTCGAACACCAATTATGCAACATGAAGGAAAATTGCTAATAGAGAGAGAAAGGATAAAAAGCATAGAAATGCAGAAAGAAAAATTGGGGAAAGAACATAGGAGGAGCGAAAGACGGAGAGAGAGAAATAACTGATTCCATATTCAATTCTTAATATAAAAGGATACTCATTGATACTAATTTGTATATAATTGGTAAATTGTATATGCCTATGTTATTAAGTTAAAACTTGATTATGGAGGGTAATAAAGTTTCATATATAGTATAGGAGGTAAAAATTCCAAAAATGAAACATTACTCAAAATACTTGGAATAATAAAATATGTACCAAAGCATATGCGGATTCCAGGTTTAATTTCAGGAGTTGGAGTTTGGAATTTTACCATACCCAATTTGATTTATTGGATTCAAAAGTATTTAAATATTTTTCTAAGACATATACAATGTCTGAGCCAAAGTACTAGTGGAATAAACCCATAAGATATACTTTATCATCCACCTTTATATCAAAGTTTACATTATAGAACAAGAACATATTATATAAGCTACAAAATAATGCTTAAAATGTAAGATGGAAATATTATCATAAATATTTTACATTAGTAATAAATAGGTTAATAGAATTACTATAAGAAATTAAAATAAGGAAGGTAAAAATAATTGTAAACCACAGAAAAACTTAGTGTTATGAAGTAAAATGTGAGCAAATATCTCCAAAATTATTCCTTTTTTTTATCCTCCTGTTTCGATATTCCTTCCTTTCCCGTGAACATATGATGCTCGACTTTAAAGAGCGTTTAGCGGTTGTGGTCTAAATTTTGATATCTTATTGGGGTGCTTATACCAACGAATTCTTGTTCACTTAATAGCTTCATTTCTTGTTCCTGGGCGGAAGGTACGCTCAGCCCCTGAAACGACTTTTATGAGTTGTCTCAGTATTGACCGACTTAATTTTATTAGCGGTATGATTAGTGGCTTAGGCAACTCGTTGGTTTCGAGATGGGTTTACTTGCGAGTGTGTCTATTTGTTTTCCTATTCAAGTTCTTGTTCCAATTTCAGAAAAAGCTAAAGAGCAAGAAGGAGGTGATGATGTGATTCCTTATGTACCTGTGTCTATGTCGCTTGACAAGTATATCTATTAATCAGTTGACCTATCTCTATTTGTGTTTTCTTCTAGGTCAACATCATTTTTCTTTATCCATTTGATTTAGTTCCTGTTTACTAACACATGTTATACTCCTTAATAAAGTGAGGACATCAAGTGTTCCGGTGGGGAGGGACGAATTTGGTTATGGAATTTTCTCTTTTCTGATTTGTTAAGTAGGTAGTTAGTTAGCTAGCTGTCCAATTATATGGTGACAGATATAAGTTAAAGCGTGTTAGTTGATTATTGTTTATATATTAGACATTGTATTCATCTCTTCAGTTAGTTGAAATGAATGAAATAGACAATTTTCATTTCCTTCTCTCCCGAGCTTCTCTGCTTCAATGGTGAATTTAGTTACTTAACATGGTATCAGAGCCTACGTAATTGATCCAAGCTATACCGATCTCTCAAATCTCAACTCAACCGAGTTAATTTCACAATTGATACAACTGAATTATCCACTAATCTCTGCGTGTTTTCAATTTATCCGAGTTAGGATTTGAATTGTCTTAGAACAGTAGAATCTCTGTTTCTCGTAGATCAATTAACTGAGTTTAATCTGTTCATTAATGGCAATCAAAGAAAATAGCTCAAATAGAGGTTCATACACAACTAATTTGAACACAGTGTCTCTAGAAGTTTCTACAACTCCTATAATCATTGATCAACATTATCCATTATTTCTTCAATCATATGATACTCCAGGTAACTCTCTTATTTCAATTAAGTTGACTGGACATGAGAATTATACTTTATGGAGTAGCTCTATGCGAGTTAGTTTACTTGGAAAGAGCAAGTTAGGGCTTGTTGATGGTAGATACACTAAGGAGAAGTTTCCTCATTCTTTATATGAACTGTGGAAAAAATGTAATGCCATAGTTCTGTCATGGATCATGAACTTTGTTAGTAGTGAATTGCTAAGTGGCATGGTGTATGCATCTAGTGCTCAGAAAGTGTGGGCTGATCTCAGAGAGAGTTTCGATAAAGTCAATGGGTCTAGAATTTTGTTTTTACATAGGCAAATTTTCTACTCTATTTCAGGGCATTTCATCTATATCAATTTATTTCTCAAAACTGAAGGAACTCTGGGCAGAGTTTGATGCACTCATGCCTTGTCCTGGTTGTGGATGTGAAGAATCGAAGAGATATGCAGAGCACTTTGGAACTCACATGTTGTTGCAATTTCTGATGGACTTAAATGGGACCTACTCTCAATCTAGTAACCAAATTAAGGTGATGAGCCCCCACTCCAACTATAAACAAGGCTTATTCTATGATTGTGGCAGAAGAGAGTAATTTCACTCAAACATCTAAAGTAAGTGAGGTGTAACTATGTTCAGTGGAAAAGGAATTCTCAGTCTGCCACCAACTATAAGTCTAAGAAGAACAATCTGTTTTGTGACTACTGTAACTACAAGGGTCACACAAAAGGCACTTGCTATAAAATTCATGATTATCCTGCAGACCTCAAAGAAAGCCTAGACCTGACAATGCATCTCAATACCCAAGGGTTCAGACTAGCACTGGTTCAAGTAATGGAGGGTTTGAGGCAGTAGCCAATTTTGCAGGAAACACTCAGCTAAATAGTCTCACTTCTACTAGTCAGGGTGGTCAGGGATTAATTGAAGGGGTTCCTCAATTCACATTTGACCAATACAATCAGATATACTCCTTGCTCTTTCATTTGCTGAAACCATTTTACCTATTCCTGTCATAGATCATAACAACCTAGATCAAAACACTCCAGCGGTTGCTGAGCTTGAGTCAGATATAGTGGCTGAGCCTACTCATGATCTAGACTGATTAGCCTACAATTGTTGTTGATCCTATGAAAGAATCCTCATCTCATAGAAGATCTGGAAGTCCTAGTAAACCTCCCATCTCGTTGAAAGACTACGTCACAAAACCAAAAGGTAAAGCAAATTGCTCCAACCCTCTCTCTGCACATGTCAGATATGCAAATGTGTCTAAGTCCTATGAGAATGCGTCGGACTCCTATTCTGTAGTTGTGGAGCCTCAGTCGTATGCTGAAGCTGAAGTGTCCCAAGTGGATTGTATCCATGAAAGTAATTTCATCTTTAGAAGACAATCACACACGGACTATGATGGAGCTACCTGCTGGCAAGGTGCCCATTGGATGTAAATAAGTGTTTAAGTTAAGTACACATCCTCAGGAGATGTTGAAAGATACAAAGCCAGATTAGTGGATTAAGGTTATAGTCAAAAGACTTGACTACACTGAAACTTTCTCTCCTATG